TTTTCAATATTATTTTAATAAACATAAGTTATTACAATTTCAAAAATCTATTTTAAAAGAACATTACTAAAGTTATGAAGATAAGCTCAAAGTTTGGAAACACCAAAATTAAGGTTGTCTATGCAACCATCATATGGTCCCCTAGGCAGGGTTAGACAATAGTCTGTAAAGTTATGGCCACTTCATTAAAAAAACAAGGCTATAAACACCTATCCATAAAGTCTGTAAAACAAACAAACAGACAAACAAGCAAAGTCATTGTAAAAAAAAAAAAAAGTAACTGGAGCTTGACTGAAGCTCCGTTGTCAGAAAGAAGATACAAGTAGTGTTGAAGAACAGACAGAATAGAGCAGCACCATCTCGTGTTTGAGTGGAACTTTGCACAGAGCTCTTGTCAGGGTTCTGTGGCTCATAGGAGTCTCCATAGCTCCTTCCCCTTCCCCAACCATGTGCTGATGCTGCTGCATCCCTTCCTCACAAATAGACAGAAACTACTCCTTCTTTGGGTGTCCTTGCTGGTACAGTGAGAGCTGAGCTGGAGGGTATAAGTCTAGGGAGAGCAGCATGATGTGGGCTCCAGTTTGGTGGGTGGGGGGAAGAGTAATCAAGGAGTGGGGGTGAGTAAGAGACCCCTGGGCTGGGGCAGCACAGTGTAAGACCATTGCTGCAGTCAGGCAGGGATGTCAACCCAATATTTTTTTTCTTTTACTGACGAACTGCAACCAACCATTTTTACTATGGTTGGTATTAAAACCCTAAATTTGAACCCAGCCGTTGTCCATGGCCTGTCAGAAGGGTTATAGTTACATTATGTAAAACATGAAATAAAAATGTACGTCAGTAAATAGTTTGGTTGTTAGTAAAAAGTTTTCAGATTGTCAGCAAAAAAGTTTGTCTTGGATTGGCAACCCCGCCCTTTGGTGTCTGTATCCTATGGTCTCATCCAGATGAGTGCAGATGTGAGGTATGTGGCACCACATACTGCACATTCTGTTGTTCTCTGTGCTGCAAGGGAGCAGTGCTAAGGTTTTTTTTGACCACTGGATATAAAAAAGCGGAGCATCACACATTGCGGCAGCATACACTGCCTAAAGCCAGAGCCTGGCCAGCCGGAAGCACAGTCTGCTGGCCAGGCTCTGTGTGGCAGGTTTGCCACCGCTTAAGCCCCAGGAGGCCCCCAGGACCCCAGATAAGGCTGCTAGGGCCATCCCAGTGCTGGCCTCAGCCTCCTCTAATCCCACCTAGGGTAACTTGCTGTGCGCCAGCATACGTGTGGCACAGGCACTCCCCAGTGGAGATGCAAGTGTGTTACTGCTAGTAGTCCTAAGGGAACCAAATGTCTGAGCATGTCTGAATGTGGCCTATGATATATCTTGAATAATAATAATCACAATACCCCTCTAGTCTTACAGCATTTTTACACATACTTCAGGAGTGGGGAGGGAGGCAGGGAGGTGGTTTAATTAGAGAGGCTCTGAGAGCGGCTCTAATTAAAGCACCAAGAGCGTCTCATTTATCAGCAGTTTCATGTTTCAAAATGGTGGCAGGAGCACTTTATCTAAAGCTCATTGAACGAGCTTTAGTTAAAGCATCCTTGCCACCATTTTGAAGCACAGGGATGCCGATATGAAGTACAAGACATGGGGGTGGCTGAAGCAAAGTAATTACTACACTCCAGCATATTTGATTAATAGAGTCTGCTCTGACACGCTGTAATTACAGCACATTGGAGCAGCCTCTGTGCTTGTGTATAGGCACCCTTCGTGTCTAAATCAATTAATTTTCCCAACTAGCTTGAGTTAGAAGTATTAGTGAGAGTCCTAGGTTTCCCAAATTTACATCAGGGCTAAAGAATGCAATGCTATGGTTAAGTGGGCTCACACAGTAGAACTGCATTATAAAAAGAGTTTCTGTTCTAGGAAAAACAGATTTAAGACAAATTTTCTTTCTCCTTCTTTAGGTCTCTGTGGTTCCTGAGTATAGGAAGCTGCTCACTGAGAATAATTTCTGTGGAGACACAGAGAATTGATGTAAAACCAGTAGAGACAGACTGTATAATAACCATCTCAGTCTCGACTCGGAGGTAAGTTAGGTATTACGAATTCTGCTCTACTAATACAGAGCAGAGCAGTGAGATCCCTAGATCTAACATAAAGTAGAACTAGAATTGGAGGAGTTGCACTTTGAGAAACAGAGTTGTAACCAGGTGCCTGATAGCCTTTTTTCCAACCTTCTTTGTTGAGCAAATAGTAGTGCAAGGCCTTTCCTGATATTTTTTTGGTCTATCTGAGTTTGGGTTGTATAAATGGAGAGTAAGGCTGATTACAGATGTTTAAAAAAAGTGCTTTCCAAGAAGCAGCAGCAGATTACTTTTACCCGGCTCTGCAGCATCTCTATAGATCAGGAACTTCAGCAGGGCTTTTTGGTGTTTTGAGCTGATTGAGCCAGCTATTAGATAAAAGTGCCAAAAAACCCCACTACAGTGCTCTATCTCTATAGACCAGGTCCAACCAACATGATGCCTCTTCTGAGCATGTGCTGGGCTTGGCATGGGAGCATACCAAATTTAACGTAAGGCACTGTTTGTTTGGGGTGTTTTTTTTAAGTCTGTAAGCAGCCTAAATGTGTAATGACATCTCTGGGGTGCGGGTGTCTTTACTGAATATCAGTACAGGTCATTCTACAACTCTCTAATTGCAGGCTTGGTTTCACCTCAGGAAATGAGTTAGGAAAAGACCCTTGCCCAGTTAAAAAGTGTAAAACCTATTATCAATAAGGGTGAAAGACTTAAAGCTCAGAACTGGTATGAGATTTATGTTCCTTTTATACTGGAACATCCATTTGTATACTGTGTGAGCTAAATTCATTTGAACTCAATATCATTAAGATTTAGACAGGTTTTCAACATTCCACTGAATATGTATTCTCAGCATAAACCAAAAGGTTTCATTTATGGAGGACTGTATGTGGTGAATGCATATTAATAGCCATATATATTTGCACACAATGGATCCATTGTATAATAAACATTTTTGTTATAGCTTTGGTGTAAAGCTGTTCTGAAAACCTCAGCAGAAGGTTGCAGGTTTTGTATGAAAGGCCTATTCAAAAGGGACATGAGAATAAAGTTTTTAAAAGGTACACAAGCACCAAAACAGTGCTGGATCACAGTATAATATTCAGTTTATTCTGTTCTCTTGTAACTTAGCTGAACATAAAATGTTTGGGCAACTTTCAGTTGGAGCAGGTTTTTATAGCTGAACTGTAAATCCCTAGAAGTAGGGATTTATAATGGAGATACTGACAGATCCTTAACTATAGCACTGCTAGCGGGTGCTGCTGTAATCACATTAGATTATATTATAGATGGCAAAGAAGGTTTTGCGAGTCTGTCCATTGTGACTGTCTAATTTATAGTGTTCCTGTCAAGAAGAAATCAAATTTCATAGTTATGACATTTCTTTCTGGAGCACTAAATGTTAACTTTGCTGATCATGCATATTTTGGTAGAACAGCTTATTTCTAAATGGCAAATGTGATATAAAAAGTATGACGACTTCATTCAAAACCTTTATAAAGTAGCCCATTCTTATACCAATTTAAAGCAGGCAGAATCATAATTTATCAAATTATGAAATTAGGTAAATCTGAGTTGAATATGCCCTTTATATTTTAATATGCCTTATTATTTTACAATTAAATATTCCTAAAACATTGACTGTTTTGTGAACTTATTATATGGACTTAAGCAGAGCAAGCGTGTTATAAAATAGTGATGAAGAAGAAGAACAACACTACATGTATCCAAGAATCTCACTGCAGAAGCCATCTACAGTCTTCATCCTTGCTCACTCACCACCCAAAAGGGAGAATAACTTGTGAAAATTGTGGAAGTCGCTGCTATGTAAGAGATGCTTCCTACTGTCTTTGAAAGGATATTATGCATCTCCTATTGCCATACTGGGACAATGTAATTTCCTGGGTGTTAGGTAACCCTATGCATCAATTACCCCACCTATAAATTGGGATGATACTTTTAGTAAGTCACTGAAAGGATCAGGCATAAAAATCAGAACTACAGATTCCACAAATTCCCAGACTTATAACATGCTACAGGTCTAAAATAATAAACTATAGATATATATAAAACCAGTGGCATAAAACTGGGCTCTCAAATCTACCCAATAACATGACCGAACATTTTAATTTTAAAATATAACTAGAGAAATACACATACATGGAAAAAACAGAATCAATAACACCCTTTTAAGTTTTTGCTGAAGTAAAAATGTGATACAAGTTGCCTAAAATTCTAGGGAAAAAATGTGGCATTGCAGTACAAACACTTCTCCAGCAAATCGACAATACTGATCCATCACACACTTATTTCTAATATCCTTCCATGCTGAGAATCTATTCTCAACTTTTAAATGTAGTTCTGATATAGGAGTCACTCTTACAATTCTTATTACCAATTCTTTTCTAATAATAATATGAGTCTTTATCAGAAGCTTTTTGAAAGTCTATATATATTATATCTAAACATTTAGAAAAAGAAGGTTTGTATTACATCTATTAAGGTGCTTTTAATTATTTCCTCAGCTTTTATCCAAATACTAATCAAGATTCACTGCAGCTGAATTCTTAGAATCACCCACGAATCACCCACAACACAAAACAAAGGTTAGTTTTTAAACATTTTCAAATAGCCTTTGTATTATCATGTGCAACAGTGTCTACCCTCCAACCTCTGGTAAGTGGGAGTGTCTATTTTTAATGACATTTAGTACTTGGACCACTAGTACAGTTACTTTTTCTTTAACTTATTTGTTGTGTTCATCAGTATTTATTCATATTTCAGTAGCCCCTATGACTCCCATGAGGAACTGTGCAGCCAGTGTACTATATGCTGTACAAACAAATAGCTACTCATGCCATTTGTGAATCTGTTTCTTATTCATAAATAATAATTGATTTTAAGTTTGATATTAACCTCTTACCTTTATAACAGATGCGCCTGCTCTGGAAAGAGGACTATGCATCTGGGCTGCAGCAGCCATGTTAGCTATAGTATTGAGGTGATTCATTTGATTCATTGCCATTGCAACGGAAGCAGGAGGTAGGCTGACAGGGAGAAGGGGGTGGGGCATCATCATAAATGGCAGATCTATCCCTAAAAGAGATGGTCGTTGGTTATTCTCAGTTCATAATCCAACACTTTATTTCAATAGCAAGAATGGCATACTGCAGGAATAGCAACTAGTCTACGTTGATATTAAGAGTTAACTATTCACATTATTAATGTAATAGGGTAATTCAAAAATAATTAGAAAGTCATACAAAGAGTGTCTCATGCCTAATGGTATTTGTATCTTAAAAGCTTACTTATGAACTGTATTAATGAAAGAAAAATCCAGTTGCCAAGTAAAAGTCAAAGCGCATACATGCAAGCTCAATATCTCTTTCATCGGTAGTTGTAAAAATCCACAAGAAATGCAGATACTTGTACGGATATATTCAAACAGTTCAATGGGAATATGTTAAATAATACAGTCTATTCTTTCAATGTGCATACTTAACTCCTATACATATTTTTAATTGTTACACATATGCAACATTTTGAGAATTGTGTGTAGGGTCTACCCAACTAGAGGAGGCGGCCATCTGATTTTGCAGGCAGATTGCAGAGACAGCTGCAATTTTCGTGGGATTATCATGGTGCACCCACCACACTTCTAATTGGCCAAGGGGGCCCAGTGGCCCCACACCCCACTGTTGATTGATGGAGAGGTCTATTCATCATACAGCCCCACCCATTGTCACTGACTGGTTATAAGGCTGTCTGTCATGCAGCC